GGACTAAGAGGGCTGCCCATTGCTACTCCATCCGTCTGCTCAAAGAATTCGCTGTTCCACTGAAAGTAGGTTGTGGTTAGACAGTGTTCGAAGAGTTTCGCATGTCTGGTGGAAATTCTCTCGCAAAAAGTTCCATTGCCTCCCTGATTGGTACCATTGTGAACAATGAAACCACATCAAAACTCACAAGGATATCCCCGGGCGACAACGACAGCGAGTGCAACCTCTGAACAAAATGGGATAAGTCCTTTATGTCGGCAATATTACAGCCAAAAAAATAATTTTTGGCTGTAATATTTTAGCTGGATATTTTGCAATATTGTAGGTCAGACTTTCGATAGCGCTCACAATGGGTCTCAGTGGTACATCCGGTTTATGGATCTAGGGCAGTCCGCAGAGCCTTGGTGAGAGTGCTTCTGATTTTTTGAGCTTTGCCAACTCCTCGGATGGAAATGTCATATCTTTAATTAATTTGTTCGTCGTTCTTAGTGTCCGTGCCGTCGGATCCCGTGTCAACTTCTTGTACGTTGACGGGGTCAAAATTTATTTAATTTTGTCTTCGTAGTTCAATGAAGACATGACCACAGTTGCATTGCCCTTATCAGCTGGCAACACGAGAATCGCCTTATCCCGATTCAGCGTTTTCAGGGCTTTTCTTTCACTGAAAGTGAGGTTGCTTACTCTCTACATTTGATATGATGTCCTCTGCTGATAACCTCGACGGTACTGTGGCAAAGTTTCCTACCTTGGTCAGTGCGCTTTGTTCGTCAGCAGTAAGTTGCTGGTCAACTTAACTACAATCTTCCGTTGGTTCTCCTCGGGTAATGGTCCTGTTTTGCTGGATCGTTGAAGCTTTTCCATCAGCGCATCAAACTTCTTCTTTTGGCGATTAGTTGCTGCTTCGGCCACCATCATTCGGTTAGCTGTTAATCTATCCACTTTTTCCCAATGAATCCAGTGCATTTTGTTGGCTAGTTCTATATTGACAGGTAAGAGTCTACTGTCAATATGTGCAAGATCTCGGCGGGTTTCATGTATCCGTTCCCGTAATGTGTGTTCCCGTGCTGATTTTTCTGTTTGTCCCAAAAATTGTAATTTTTCTTTTTGAATGCTTAAGTCTTCCAATAAGCTTCCAATTAAACATGGAAGACTTTCAAATAATGCTTAATAACAAAGTTGAATTGCGATTTTCAACTGTTAAAATTTTCTAGAAATTATTGAATAAAAAAAATCATAGTTTTTCTCGTACCTTCCAAGTGAGCCCCTATTACCCTTTAAAAGGAATGACGTGAATTTTGTGTCACCTTGTATATCTACCAAAAGAACATAAGTTATTTTTCCATGTGCATGCTTCGATAAGAAGGTAAAACTGTTTGTTTGGTACGTACAGTGGAAAATATTAAGTGCGAATTAGAAATGTCAGATCCCGTGTCTGTCTGAACTAATTAAACTTTAGTAAATTGAGTTTTCTGAAAGCTTCATAAAATTTAATATTACGGGAATTCTTTTTAATATCTCATCGACTGGCTTCCGCAAATTCGCACACTCGCCTAAGCCAACTTGCTCCGTTGCTGTTCTTTTCTAGCAGAAACGGAGTCTTGTAGCGCTTCCGAAATACCCACAGTTAATTTTCTCATAGGAATTGGTGTGTACACACTGGATGAATTCAAAGAATGGGGCTGTTTTTGTATTGAAATGTAAATTGTAATTAAATTTAATTACACTCTTCAATACAAAAAAAGACCCATTCTTTGAGTTAATTTTCATATATGAAAAAATGAATCTTCAGTATGTTTTAAGTAGCTATTGATATAACTGTATCACTGTTTCCATAAATAATAAATAAGTTTAAATAATATTCGTTTGTTTTCGTATAATTTAAGGGTCCAGGCATGATTATTAAAAAATTTCAAAAGGTAACTGACAGCTGTAAGCACTCCTTTGGCATTTGTTCTATTAAAATGGCCGCTTTGAGCGATTTTCTCGACGGCATTTTCAAACATATTTTTTAACATTTTGGATCAAGACTAAAAATTGTTCCATATTTAATTGGCAGCATATTGGAATATTGAAGCATTCCAAAAGAAAAATTACGATCTTTGCTGCAAATTACGAAAATTGTCAAAATCAATGTCAAAAAAGTTCTCTTTTACATCTTTTGATGAAAAGTCACAGCGGCTATGATGTTTTTTGTCATTAACAGATAGTTACAGGTCGATAACCCTTGTCAATAATAACAATAATTTGTCAAACTGTGACTTACTTTGAATTTCCTTTCACAAATTTGCTGATATGCGATTAGTTCAGCGGAAATGCCACAGTAACATAGCAGAAGCTGAAAGAACTCACGCCAAGACAGGGCGAGGAGAGCGGTTCCAGGAAGATAGTGGACGACAATCGATTTTCGGGTTCCAGACACAGAAGGACAAGTATTGAACATAATCAAATCAGGGTCTTCCAGGCGTACTCAGAGCACAATAACTGACACTTTCCCAAGCACCAAATAAATAACGGGGAAGGGGTACATTCATACCACGTTTGTACGATGCACACAGCACAAGAAGATAGAAATGGAGCAGGAGTTAATTAACTGACTACGAGAAGCTGCTTGATAAGAGTGGATAATAAGGAGATTACACAGGCACTAGCCTGTTCGGAGTAAACCATTC